TTTGCATATAAATATAAAGGAATCATCTTGAAAAAATCTTCAGCTCGAGAACAGCAGAGCCATGATTAGTCATATTATTATAGAAGTATTCTCAGGTAGTGCAAATTCAATTTGTTCAAATTAAGGATCGGTAGGGTAGGGCCACAATGAGAAATTACAGTTTAACATAGGAAAACATAGGAATTTTTTTAATTGCTCTTTAAGAAGACCAAAACCATGATAGTTATCTGATATGGAAGCACCCTAAGGTGGTATAAATTAAATAAAACAATATTAAACTTTCTTCTGCTTTTTCCTAACCAATGTGATCACGTGAGCGATATGGACCTATTTTTATTTTATTTTATTTTATTTTGTTATTATTATTATTTTTTCATGTTCATGAAATATTTTTTTTCTCAAACAGATCCTTTTGTCAGGAATTACACCCTACAGACTTAGGTCAGTCTTGTTCAAATCTTCCTATATAGGCGTTAAGAAATAACAATCCATCAATCTTATATCATAAATGATTTTTGTTTGTTTGTTTGTTTTTGTTTTGTTTTGTTTGTTTTCTTCCTTTTTTTTTTTTTTTTTTTTTTTTTTTTTTTTTTTTTTGAAATACAATATAATTTTCAGAGAACAACCAGTGACATAGATGAAGTTCAAATTTCACTCACATGCTGTTAATCTCGATGACAGTCTACTTTAAATATTCAATGTAGAAGTAGATGGAATTCCCTATTATTTTCATTATCAAGTATTGACATGTTATTGTTCTCATAATAAATGACATTGGTGATGACGATGATGATGATACTGATCGACGCCATCACTATAAACTCTCCATATTCAATAAAGAAAAGAAAGTAAGCTATAATTAATTAATCACATTTAAATAGGATGCTCTGTCATATATGCAAGAGGGTTAATATAGTTATCTATTATCATCAATTGATTTTCTCTTAGGTTGCGGTACCTCGGGATTCTATGGAAACAAATGTGATTTACCGTGTCCACTAAACTGTCAAGAGGGTAATTGTAACATTGTAAGTGGATCTTGTCTGGGGTGTATTACAGGTTTCAAAGGTCAAAGATGCGAAGAATGTACGTATATATTTATTCAGAGAGAAAGAGAGAGAGAGAAAGAAAGAGAGAGAGAATGATCATTTTGTTTTCTCTAGCAATGATATCAGTTTTCGTAAGTAGAACACAGATCACTTATGTGGCCTATAATGCTAAATTCAAACTAAATAGTATTAGTCGTAAATTGATACGATTTAACTATGTCATATACTATTTCCATTTTTTTTTCTTTAACCTCTTTAAACAACTTATAATATTTTTTTTACTCAAATGGATTAAAATTGTATACTGAAGTTTAAATTATCAATTCAATGCATTTTGATTTTCAGATTGTGATAATAATAGATATGGCCTTGCATGTAACCTGACCTGTGGTAACTGTAGTAATGGAGAACAATGTAATCCCGTGAACGGAAGTTGTCTAAACGGATGTGACGTTGGGGCTCAAGGGGATAGGTGTGACGAAGGTAAGATAAAGAAGCTTTTTATACGACCCATTCTTTTATATACAATTTACTAAAAAAAAATGTTCTCTGTTTCCAAGAACGGTTTTAAACGTAAAAAGAAGGGGTTATTACAGATCTTCAATAGGACGAAGCTTGCTTAAAAGATAATATAAAAGTAAGATTTGAACAAAATTTAATAAAGGATGTGCAACAAAAAAAAGCATACATCTATATCATTGGTGTATAATTGAAGCAATTGTTCAAATCTATTGCTTGTCTTCGATAATTAAATAGCTATAAAGATAATTTACGTGAATTGTCAGTTTAGCCCTACCCTTACAATTCATGGATTGTCATTAGCCTTTTCAGAGATGGATGATTATATTTAATGGTAAGGTTAAAAAGAATATTTTTTTGGAATATTCTGGATTTAAATAAACTGAAATCACTGATCTTTTTCCAATCTTTAACAAGAGACCAATGGGCCACATCGCTCACCTGAGTATTATGGCTAGGAAAAAAAAGTCAATCCAGTATTGAAAAGTTTAAGGCCCTTTCACAATTGGCGCACGAGCACTTTACAACACTTTGCGATCGGAATTTTTTTTAGCTTCGCACGAGCTCTCGCATACGTGACACGATGTCTCGCATTCGTTGCATGCGTTTTAGTGGTCGCATCAGGTCTCCTCAAAATAGTGGACATGCACACTATTCAGACGCGACCAAATGCGATCCAAATTATCGCAATGCAACGCACGAACATTAGCACGAACGTCCTACAACGTTTTGTGTACTCGTAAGACTGATGAGCCATTTTAAATGGTCGTAAGATGAATCGCAGCAGTGTTTTGCGACTATGAGACTGTTGCTCAACGTTTCTCATGTAAACTTGCAACGTTTTACTATCATTGCACGATTTATCAGCTTCAATTTGCCATGCAAATATTATATATATACACAATATATATTATATTTATACACCAATACGATATCAAACCAGCGAAACACTTTGCTGTCATAATAATACAGTCAAAAATTATTTACGCACATTCTAAAAGATAATAATATTAGAAGAATTAAGAAAAATCACAGCACTGTGTCGGGTTCTCTAAATTCAGAATTGCGTGGCTGATGGGTGGTGCCTAAGTGCACTCGAACGAGCATTCGTACCATGGAACGCATGATCGCACGAGCGCTACACGTCCAATCGCATTTGTGCACGTTCAATCGTCCGATCACCTGATAACTCGCGTGATCCTATCGCATTATCTTACAGCACTCGCTTTCATTGTATATCAGTCGCACAAAGACGCAAGATATATCGCAAGATTTAATGGTTTCGCATCGCACAACGGTGGTTTTAGATCTTGCGAATTTCGTACGAACACTTTTTCATATGCGATTATTTCGGCAACAGTTTACGATCCTAGTCAATTTTTTTCGGTCGCACGAATATTTTGTCGCGTCTACTCGTGCGCCAATTGTGAAATGGCCTAAAAATGCATAGGTAGTCCCACCTTCCCCTACAAGGGGAAGGGGTTGGGTATGATTTGAATTAAATTCAATCTACACTAACTAAGGATGCTTACATATGTCTTTAATTTACTCTAGCTTTTTTTCTCTATAAGTTTAAACGTTCATTTTGATCCCACCCTATCCCGGGGATTATGATTTGAAACGTGAATCTACACTAATTAAGGATGCTTCCATATAAACATGACCAATCATGGCTTTGTTGTTCTTGAGAAGACGATTTAAAAGATTTTTCCAATATATTCCTATGTTAAAACCGTTTACAGTAGCTCAGTCTGCAGAGCGCTCTCTCCCTGATCGGAAGGTCGTGAGTTCGAATCTCGGCCGCGTCAGACCTAAGTCGATAAAAAAATAGGTACCAGCTATTCCTTTGCCATGCACTCGGCACTTTGAAGTGAAAGTTGCTGGTCCTTCGGATGAGACTTTAAAAACCGAGGCCCCGTGTCACTGCAGGCGTTGGTACGAACGAAAATCCTTCACTGCTCAGTGGCCCTGAGTGCCGAGTAAAGGTCAAATTTGAAGCTCTTTACCGATATATGGTGACTTCTCTATATGAGTGAAATATTCTCGGATTGGAGGTTGAACAAGATTCATTCAATCAATCAATCAATCCTATGTAAAACTTCGATTACCTATTGTGGTCCTACCCTACCCACGGGGGTCATGGTTAGAACAAACTTGCATCTACACTACCTTAGGATGCTTTCATGCAAAAAAAAAAAAAAAAAAAAAAAAAAAAAAAAAAAAATCATGGCTTTGTTGTTCTTGAGAAGAAAATTTTTAAAGTTTTTTCCTATATATTCCTATGTAAAACATAGATTACCTATTGTGGCTCCACCCTACCCCCCGGGGTCATAATTTGAACAAACTTGTATTTACACTACCTGAGGACGCTTGCTTATAAACATGACCAAACATGGCTTTGTTGTTCTTGAGAAGAAGATTTTTAAAGTTTTTTTTCCCTATATATTCTTATATAAAATTTGATTTCGTACATTGTGGTCCCACCCTATCCTCGGGAGTCATGATTTGAACAAACTTGAAACTACACTACCTGAGGATGCTTCCATATAAATATAACCAATCATGACTTTGTTGTTCGTGAGAAGAAGATTTTTAAAGTTTGTTCCTGTATATTCCTATATAAAACTTTGAACGTATTTTGTGACCCCACCCTACCCCCGAGGGTCATGGTTTGAAAAAAAAAAAATGAATCTACGCTATCTGAAGATGCTTCAATATAAATATGACCAGTTATGGCTTTGTTGTTCTTGAAGATTTTTACAAGATGATATTAATTTTTCAAAAAATATTTCATTATCTCCAATTGGAAGAAGTTGTGGCCCTTCATTTCAACAAACTTGAATCCCCCTTACCCAAGGATACTTTGTGGCAAGTCAGTTCGAAATTGGACAAGTGGTTCTTGAGAAGTCGAAAATGTGAAAATTTTAAAGACAGACGGACAGACAGCTAGACGCCGGACAAAATGTTATCAGAAAAGCTCACTTGCGCCTTCGACTCAGATTAGCTAATAATTGAAGAGGTTTGGCACAATTGATTAAAATAATGTCTTTTACATGTTAATTCTTTGATATAAAACAATGTAAATGTTGAACACAGAGATTCTTTAAAAATCATTTACATACTATTTGAAATATATCATTAGTCAGAAGTTTTCATACAATTCTACATGTGCCTGTTTTAAAAACTCTGATGTTTTGAATAAGCCCCTCATCAACTTAAAATTTAAGTGTGTCAATGAAATGTTCTAAGTGCATATCTATATTAAAACAAGTGTATTGTTGATGCTTTTAATTAGACATTTCCTAATTTATCTTCACAATGTTAAAAATCAAACTTATTAAACATCAAATGTATTGTGAATGTCATATTCATAATTATATAACTTTAATTTTACCTTACATTAACAGTATCCCATTATCTATTATCCTACAGCTTGTCCCTTTGGTAGACAGGGAAAGAATTGTGTTGAGGTCTGTAAACCAAACTGTAGAGGAGGCTGTAACAGATTCACTGGTGTCTGTCAGTCTGGTTGTTACCCTGGATGGAAGGGAACGTTCTGTGAAGATGGTATTTTTTGTTTCAGTTATTTTTCTTATTTTAATTCCTATCATTTTTAATGAAATGGAACATGTAGGAAGAGCAGAACATTTTTAAGTCATGGATTTTAATGAAATTTTAGGAAGGGCATTACTTCTGTATGTCGTGGATTAAATTGCATTTGATGAACTTTGTGACTTAATTATTTCCTTATAGCTATTTTAAAATTTGGAAGAAAACATGAAAAATATAATGCAGTAAAGGATGAATGCATTACAGCAATATTATCTGTTACGTGTTTATATATTTTTGATAGACATAACAGATAATCTATTTCTAAACGACTTTTTTGGAGTTTTTTTTACATAGCTTTTTTTTCATTTATTGTTTCATATGCTAGAGAATAAGTGATGAAAACTGATATTGAATTTTGCAGAATGTGATGAGTTGTATTATGGTGCACACTGCAGTACCTCATGTGGCTTCTGTCTGAATTCCGAACAATGTCATCATATCAATGGAACATGTTTTGAAGGATGTGACAGGGGATTTCAGGGAGAAAAATGCACTGAAGGTTGTCAAAATTTTTCCTACATCCATTATGTAAACAAAAAAATATTAATAGTTTCAAAGGAAATCGATAAGATATAAATATTTGATGAAACATTTATCTATGTTTGATTCCACATGCTCTAATTCTAGTTTATAACAAAAAGTCGAAAATTTGAGAAAAGCAGATGTGTTTGAAATTTTGATTCAAAACACATTTTAATTTTTGTTTTATTTATTCTATTTAATTTTTTTTGCAGGATTTACCTTGAAACTTAATGTTTCTTAAAATACTTTTGTAATAATAATAATAATAATAATAATAATAATAATAATATTAATTTTCTTGTAATATTTTGCAGCATATTGTGTACAGAATAACAATCACAGAAGTATCAATGAAAAGTTTGATTGTTTTTGTTTTTTTTTTTTTTATTTCCACCTAGCATGTCCTGAAGGACTCTTTGGCTACAACTGCCAGGAGACATGTGACATCAATTGTGGAGTCCCTGGTAGATGTAACAGAGTAACAGGACAATGTGAAGGAGGATGCCAACCAGGGTGGAAAGACACTAAATGTGACCAAAGTAATCTTTCTTCAGACACACAGTGTTTTCAATCAAATAGATTTCTCTTCTATCTTCTATCATCTTTCGAGAAGTAAAAAAAAGAATGTCAGGACTCTTCATAATGTTTTTATCAGTATATTAATTGGCATTTTCATGCACCTTTTACTAATTATGTATATTTTCAGTCCACAATGAATGATGCAGTGGTAAAAACATACTTGTAAAATGCTTGGTATAAATTTCCAGTAATAAAGGGTGTTGATTAATCAATTCGATTTTAATTTTATTGTTAATATTATTTTTTTTTTTATTATGAGTACTGCAGTAGTCCCTTTCTGTGCAATATTTGTTAATGAACATAGAAAATTCTAAATAATAATAATAATAATAATAATAATAATAATAATAACTAAAATAATAGACGGCTTATCTATTTAATATTACGTTTACAGAATGTGACGGTGGTACGTTTGGACAGAACTGTACTCAGCCATGCGGGGTTTGTTTTGGAAAAGAACAGTGTCATTTTATAAATGGAACATGCTTGAATGGCTGCGATAAAGGTTATCAAGGAATCAAGTGTACACAGGGTAATGAACTGAAGGCTCTTATATGAAAAATTAAATATTCAAAATAAACTTGCATTTTTATATTCCTGTGCATTATTAAAAATATTAAATTTGCCTTTAAAATGTCTTCCAGGTCTCATCCAATAAAACTGCTGTCTAAAATGGCATATTTTCTATGTGGTTTAGTAGCTATAAGTAAACTGAATACGCTCTTTATTGACAAGATGAAAACAGTACATATCTTAATCTTTACAATCAAGCAACGCAATATATAGTCAATACCCTCCCAGAAAGTTCGATATATGAATTCTGTAGGTAATAGTATTATAAAATAAAGTACTCGAATATCGCATAAGATGAGCATCGATCAGATACACCGTGTTTCACATTTGTATGAAAGATGAAAGTTAATAAGACATATTACATTATCTTGTCAGTTTTTAGCAAAAAAAAAAAAAAAAAAAAAAAAAAAAAAAAAAAAATGATAAGGTGAGATGATATTATTTCTAAATAAGTACCTTTATGTTTGTTCATTTTTTTTTACCAGCATGCCCTGACGGACGTTATGGATACAACTGTCAGGAGACGTGCAGCATGAACTGTAAACGTTCAACGACATGTGATGTCATTTCAGGACAATGTAGTGGTATTGATGTATTATATTATTATCATTTTCATTCTTACATAGCAGTTTATTAACTCGAATTGGATAGACATATTTGTTGAGGATTTGACTTATTGTACTGAAAGACTGATGGTAAAATATTAGTTTTGGAGTCGTTTACGAGGAAACATTTCCTTCTTTAGACTAGAATCTGTAAACAGAGTATTTTAAAGTACAACGACCTTATAATTACAAATATCCTTTTAATTTCTGGTCATCATTCAATAAGAAATCAATGATGCAATTCTTTAAAGAAAATGAACCCCATATCATTTCGGTTAAATTGATGAATCGGAAATAGTCTCTACTATCAAGAAAGTATACAATGAATAAAACTGAAAAAAAAACACTTTGAACCAACCCAAAATATTTTATTTGAAGGTTTGCTTTTAAATCTGGCTTCTGATTTTGAAAAAAAAAAAGGTATTGAAATGACCGTTATTGATAAGTACACGTACATGTAGACCTCAATGCATTTTTGTAGAAAAATAATCCCTTTTTTAATTTAGATTCCATCAGTGTTAGCTAACATGCAATACTGTAGTCTGTTACTAAAAAGATACTGTGTTTTTAGGGAGATATTTTCTGTCCAGAGATAAAGACAACCTGTTCCTTTCTTCTATTTTTAACCATTCTTGGTCAGAAAATTTAGAATTTTTATTTGTTAATTCATTTCTTATTATTTATAATCCCTTTGTTGAGTGCTAGATACAATTTGTAAGCAAACATAGATACAACTCGACAATATCATCCCTCGAGAAATGGCTGTTTAAGTAGGACTGCATATGTAACTGTATATAAATCATCTTAGCTGACCATCAGTTTTCGCTGTTTACTTGTTAAGTTTTCAGCACATTGAAAATATCACTAATTATAAATAATTACGCGGTGGCTGTCCACAAGTTTTCATATTACCCTTAATAATTAAAAAAAATAATAAAAAAGAAAATACTAAGAAAAAATCCTTGAGAATTGGTCATCGTGAAAATTAATGAAACGACTTTAGTAAAACTAAAATGTCTCCAGCGAATTTAAAGTTTCCAAGTTAGATTTTGGATGATAACGAACAGTATTCAAGCTCTGAGTCCATTAAAACAATACAAATCGGGAGCAGAGCAAACACGGACCACCAAAAACGTCAGACTAATTAAGTTATAACACATGTCTTGATTTTTTTTTTTACAGTGATAGGACAACCATCAGAGTATGATACAGACAGTCAGTGCTATCCATCTCTTTATGGAGTAGTTACCACTCTTTGCTTAAGCATTGCTTTAAATATCTTTTTCGTAATCTGGTGAGTTTATTTTTTTATTATGTTTTGTTGAAATGTTATTTTTTTAATTAAAAACTAATCACTAATGTTATATATGATATATAAGACCATTAGATTTATTTAATATCATTTTATATGCATTTATATTTTTTTGATTTTAGTTTCATTAGAAATAGAGCATGTAAAGGACAGAGTCAAGAAAAGAAAAATACGAAACAGTTGTCAACAGAACACACACCATATAACACAGAGCTTTATGACAAAGTGGAAGACAACGCATGCTATCAGGAACTGGGTCAAATAAGTCAACTTTCCCATTATGACAAGTTACATTAGCGTTAATGTGCTGGGAAAAAAAAAAAAAAAAAAAAAAAAAAAAAAAAAAAAAAAAAAAAAAAACTTGTATTACCCTTGTTCTTGATTCAATTCTGTTGAGCCCTTTACCAAATAAAAAAAAAATTCAAATGATACATTTATTGATGATACCAGCCAATGTACACGTGAAGCATGAAATTACAGGCTAATGGAAGTAGCATTTTTACAAACTGTTATAATTATTCAATAAAATTTCAAATTCCAAAGGCTGAAAAGTTGTGAAGAAATAAACAGTCTGGAAAAATGATGATGTTCATGTAAGATGTCAACATTATTGGCATGACCTCTCATGGATTATTATTCTTTTTTTTTGCGCTCTCTGAACCATTGTGAGAATCATTACAACGAAGAAAAACAGAGGAAGATGGAACAACTCTCTGATAAGACAAAAATCTTTTCAAGAAAAATCCTAATATGTCCGATAATTTATCTTACAAGAACTTATTTATGGACACAAATATGTTGTAAGTAAATTCAAAACCGATATAAGACACAAAAATTAACCTTAGTTTTGTTTTGCTCAAATATATGATAGATATTAACATTTAATGTATAATACTCGCAAACAGTTTGTTTCACTTTTTTTTACAAATTCAAAGCTTCCCATCTCTTTATAAATTATTTAAAATTTACAGTAATTTATCAGGTAGCATATATAGATTTTTCCTTAGAAGTGCATGTTCTGCCATAAACAAATATTTCAAAGAAAAAGATAGCTCTTGCTGATAGATGCATTTTTTGGCGAGTACAGAGAACAATGTGATGCTCAAACTTAACTAGAATGTTCCAAGGAACGCATGTGTAGCCTGCTTTGTAGCTTTATTAAAGATATAAATAAATCTAAGTGTAGTTAGCTATTCATTTACTACTAGCATGATAGGTCTGCAGCAAAGTGCATCCACGGATTGTATAAGACTGCGAAAGAACCTGACAATCAAAGAAAATATAATTCCCAACCCTCAAATAATTAAATTGAAATTATTGTAGATAATTATTTAACATTTTACATGTTACATGTATCAAGACGTGTTTCAAATGTTTACTCCACAAACATGTATAAATGCTCGTTATCAACACCCGCAACTCAAAACTCAAAAGACATAAATTAAATTAAATTGTCTGTGGTATTTTTTGCAGACAAGTAGGACAAAAGTCAAGGCCAAGTGGATTGAAACGCTGGCATTTTTTCAGCGTGTTTTATGACAATCAGTGCATGTGCTAAATAGCATAGACTTACCTCTTAATTGTCAAAAATGTGCTGTATATTGGTACTATATACTATTTTGTAAAGTAGGTCAAGGATCAAGGTTATGGGTCACGAGGTCGGTAGCCATGGTAATGCACAGAAGCCTTAGTACCAAGCAATATATGTGCAAAATATCAAATCAATATCTCCTACAGTTCTTGAGATACAGCGTATGTAACAGACTGACAGGCAGACATACAGCTAGACAGACAGACAGATAGACACATGGTAAAGTGACCCCTAAGTGTCGCTCTGCTCTGCAGGCGACACAACATTAAACCCTTCATTAGGCCTATATAATTTCGAATATGAACTTCATGTGTATGACAATAAAGATGAATTTCATACCTTATTCTTTAATTTCATATTGTTTAATACATTATTTTTTTTTGTATATTAATTTTTGTGTTCAGTAGTAATAATTTTCTCGATTATATTTTGTCTGTGATTCTTTTACATGTACTGATATTATTAGGGTTGGAGGTCGACAGTCTTTAAAGGACTCCTTAATAAATCTCCTTGTATAGAAGTTATAAATATTTTACGTGCTTCTTCAGTCATATTGTAAAATTGAATAAAACTTTTAGTTCACTGGATATCAGTGAGCTGAGAGTTATGATTTTTTTCTGAACAGAAAGCGGGTGTTTCATTCATGTTTCAGAGAGAGAGAGAGAGAGAGAGAGAGAGAGAGAATGGGTGAATTAGGAAAAACAAATGTGGTATCACACTCTCAGTCATCTTCCTGTAGGAAATAATATTGCGGTATCACACTGTCATTCATGTCAGTCAACTTCCTGTAGGAAACACTAATGTTGTATCACACGGTCAGTTATCTTCCTATAGGAATCACGAATGTTGTATCCCACTTTCAGACATCTTCCTGGAATTAATCTGGCTACATTAAATACAAACCTGTGCATAACCTTATCTCTTTTTTATTAAATGTAAATAGAAAATCTTGCATCTGTTTAATGCAAGATACAAGAACTTTCTTCAAAATCTGTTTTCCTTTTAAAAAATGGTGCTTTTTGCCAAAGCCTTCATTGCACCTTAAACGCTCATTTAGCTTTATCTTTTCAAATTTTTACTAAACACTTGCAGGGTGTTTTAGAAACAGAACACAATTATTTTTTTTAGCGCCATGTACTCTGATTAACATTGTTTATTCTTATTTTTATCCTTTTCCACAAATACTGACATTGTTTTCACCGTCTGTCCCCATACAGCAAAATAATCTATATATATATATATATATATATATATATATATATATATATATATATATATATATATATATATATATATATATATATATATATATATATATATATATATATATATATTGTATAAATATTTCATATAATTGAGGGTAAAAATAAAACATTCACCAAACAAATTAATATCATTGTCTAGCTGAACTATACATACGCCTCAACTATGTGCACGTCAACAATATGCGATACTTGTATTTATTATTTCAAACTAAATACAATTAATACAAAAATAAATAAAAATATATAAAAATAAAATTTAAAAAATGATCATAATTGTGCGCTAAACTTCTGTGCAGTGAACATTTTTGTATACCAACAGTCGACAAGTACCGCTGGCGTCAGGTAATGTTGACTGTTGCTACTTTCTTCCACGCTGCAATGCTTGGATTAATCAATAAGATCACACAACACGTTCCTTAATAATATATAATTTTCCCAAGAATTTGTCACTGAAGTATTTCTACTTTAACAAGTTTCCTCACAAAAAATTGCAGTACCTTACCAGGCATTTGTGCAAGATACCAGAGAGACGCGTTTCCTGTATAATCCATTTGATAATATTTTGAATTGCCATTATTACAAATTTTGATGTACTTATTTTTAAAAACAATCTAGAAATCACAAGATAATCACAATTATGAATAATTTTTGATGTATTACGAAGTTTTTGATATATTACGAAGAGATACAAAAAAGATATGTGAGGAACGTGTCCTCAGACTTTTAAGATGATAGTACCGTTTTAACAAATACTTCTCAAAAAATCGGGTTCTACTGATGTACAAAAATGTATTAACTAGTGAACATTTATTAAATTTCTTATCAATCATTTTAGTATCTGACAGCATACCCCATGATAAACAATGAGAACAATTCCGTTTGTTAAGTTAAACGATTGTTGGACATAGATTTATTGACGAGTGTGGGGAAGGCTTGTATTCATAATCCGTATTCCCGAGTTTGAGAAATTCAAATGATAAAATCTATTTATGTAAAAAACGTAATTAATCCTCCTGGTAAATTTGCAATATGAAAATAAATTGTCTTGAACATACGAAAATCACAACGTTCATTTAATCTTTGTAGTTCCTTAAAAGTAGTTGATTTTTTTTTTTAAAAGAATTCCTTGACTTTTTACTTTCTTGATTGAAAATTCGCATCGCACGACATGAACAGCAAAACCTTTTTGTTATATTTCCTTGGCGAAGTACTACTGATCGGGAAAATTGTAACTGCTTATGGTGAGATCTTTTTTTTTTTCTTCATACCTAAGTAATCCTAAGCTCAAGATCATTATTATTTTCTCTTCTAATTTTGACCTAAACAGGGTTACTATGTAAACTTGATTTAATAACTAATCGCTCATACACTTGTAAAATTAGGAACCAAGATTTTGACCTGTAATAAATAACGTTTTAACCACTTAATGCATTATTTCTGATAAACAAAAACATTGCAGAACTACCCTTTTCATTCAATTTATACTCCAGATTGTAATGTTGCGATAAATATTTCTGAAAGAAAACTATTTAAAAAAAGAAGGAAATAACATCAGGTTGGAAGGAATTTTAAAAACTGCATTTTATCAAGTTGGGAATGTAAATTTTGAAAAAAAAAAAGTATATGAAGTTGTATAAAAATTATTTTTTGATGAATGTTCTATGTGTTTTTAATGAAAATTTGATAAAGGGTATATAATTCCTTTCTCCACAATCTAGACAAAAAGCTGAATATTGCTATGGAGAACTTTATGAGAAAACTTCTTGACTATTTGTATAAGCATGTCGTAGCTCTATGTTTAAACAAACGTCTCATGCATGTTCAAAATCATCAGCAACACTACCAATTACGCTGATTTGATAGCATTTTAAGGTATCAAATAAATCAAAAGTATTATATACAACAAAATGTTATTTCATATTTTTGCAATATATGTATGACCGGTTAATAGGGGATGGTTACTCCTGTTTGAATAACGTAAAGAGAACAATTGTTATCGTTGACTAAAGTATGCAATTCTGGGGAATAGCAATGCTCGGCCGCGTTTTAATTATATAAAATTTACAATTTGATTTCGCTTTGATTTATTGATATCCAACAAGAAAATGCTTGAAAGATGGAATATAAATGGAAAATACACAAACTCCTATAAAAATGAAAATGCAAGGAATTGAAACTGTTAAATTTCTAGGACAGATTTCATGCAAAATTTGGTACTATATGGAGAAAAACATGTTGCTTAAGCAAACATCAAGAGTTTATGTTTAAATTGAAAATAATGAATTGTAAGTTTAGCTGGCACATTTAAATCAATATGGTAGAAAATACATACTAGTGTTTATTGATCTGGAGTAAGACTTTTTCCGTAAAATTATTCTCTTCCATAGGCCGATTAATCTTAAATTCCGAATGCATACTCTGTGTAAAGGAGAAAGGCCTCA